TCTAATTTTTAAACTGAGGTAGGACAGAAGAAATAAAAGGGAGAAAGAAGGAAAGCATAACTATAAATTGTACTTTGTAAGAAGACTGCAACTTCCAGGACTTAGCTGAAGTCACCTGGGTCAGATTTATACTCTTGCCTACCAGACCTATCATCAGAAGGCCATAAACTGCCTCAACTAAGAGAGTAAACAAAAAGTTGAATGAACCAGCAGAGTATTTACATCACCTATTAAAAAATACAGATGTATCGGTTGCTACATGGTGCCAACATGAGAAGTCTTAAAAGCTGAACTAAGTAACTCAGCAGTTCTATATCCTAGAGTATAGAGGACACGCCCCTAGTGTTCCAGGATGCTATTCACTGTGTCACCTTGAGAAGTTTACAAGTTTAACTAAGTGACTCAGCAGAGAGCCAGGGTCCTCACTCTGTAAACATCCTGAGCCTGTGCAGGAGGAGGGCAGAGAGATGGTGTGAGTGCTACACCCGCCTGAGGGCGGGTAGCCTGCACACAATTTAAGGAATAGAGGGTTGCTCTCTGCCTTTTTCTCTTTTGCTGTCTTCTGCCACCATGAACGGTTGCCCCTCAGCCATGCCACACTGCCTTGGAGTCAGCTGATTACAGACTGAAACCTCCACAAACTGTCAGCTAAATAAACCTTTCTTCCCTTAATTTTGAGCATGAGGTATTTATCTCAGCCAAGGAAGAAAAGAAACTAAGAGAGAAAAGTAAGACACCACGCCCACAAACAGATTGCGGGGGGCTATATCCCTAGCTTTTCACAGTGTAAAGGTACTCAGTTCCAAACTGTACTGTCTCCTCTTGCTCATCACCCGCACTCCCTGCAGCTTGTGTACTGTACTCTGCACCTTTGCTAATAAACCGTCTGTGCCTCGTTATCACATGTAACCCTCTTTCTGCAGGAGGAGGCAGCGAGCCTGCTACAGCAGGGTGCGCTCAGTGCGGGAGAGAAGCTCTCAAGCCCAGCCTGGTGATCACACCAGACCCAGACTCCACTGAGGCCGAAGGTCTTCACGCTGTTTGGGTGGGGAGGGTGGCAATTTGTGTGTTTAATATATTTACACAGAAACAAACCCTTCTCATCTTGGCTGCATCGAATTCTTTAAGAGGTATCTTAGCTCAGAGTCCAATTAAATTGTCAAAAATTAACATCTTAAATGCAGACTTCAATCCACCATGGCCACCTGTAGCACATATATTTCTTCCTACAAAGAAAGATGCGGCTAGAAATGTGATCATATCTTTAATATAACATTTCTGTGTTGCTGTAATGGAGACCTGAAGTTTCTGCATTATTTCAGAATCTGCCTATAGTTTTACAAAGATGCTAATCCGTAATGAGACTGGTGAAGCTGGGAGCGTGGACCTGTACTGCTGCTCTGCAGCCAACTGGGATTATAAACTCCGCACCAGTAATGAATTAGTGGGACGAAGTTTAAACGGGAAAACTTTATTTGAAAAAGAAAAAAAAAGAAGAAAACAGAACAGTATCAGGGTAGGGGGCCCACCTGTGGCCTTTGCCCGCAGTTTCATTTGGGGAACCCTTCCCCCCAGGTCGACACCTGGAACTTGTCACAACCTGGTTGGCCCTCTGGACTGTCAAAGATATATCCCCAGCCACAGAACCCCGCCCCTGGCACTCCGTGACTTATCCTTTATCTCCGTGACTTATGGGTTGGTTAGGAGGACCTTACATACAAGGTCAAGTTGGTCATTTAGGGGCAAGTACAGTAATACTGCTGCCCTACAGTGAGAACACACACACACACACAGTGTGCCCAAAAAAATGTATACACTTCAGAAAAAGAAATTGTATGACTATTTTAATACTAAATTTATTTTTGAGACTGCATGAGATTAATACAAGTTACCTTTGGCTCTACAATTACAACGGGTGCTCAAAGTGGTGGCCATGAGCTTCCAGACATTTATTAGCATGGTGAGCTGCCGCTTGGGTAACGTCAGTCACTGAGATTGCTGCGCAAGCATTTTCAATTTCTTCTCTACGGGCTGGCAGTGTAGTGGGTTTTCTGTGTATACTACATCTCATAGGGACCCCATGCACGGGTAACAACCTTTGTTGAAAAAAAATCACACTCCTTTTCATTTCCTGAAGTGTATATACATTTTTGGGCAGATTCTGTGTGTGTGTGTGTGTGTGTGTGTGTGTGTGCATGCACAGGTGTAGTTTTAAATACTAAGAGTTATGTAGTGCCCTCCCCATTTCATCTCTGCTGCATTTTACTAGAGGTGGTGAGGGGCTGCTAACTTGGTTAAGGCACCTGGCGTCCTTCCATGTTCTGTTTACCAGCTCTCCCTCTGATCCTCTTAACTGCTTCCTCCAGCAGAGCTTTAACTCTTTCTACTCACGATTTGCCAGAAAGCCTAATGAGATCCTTATCCTATTTTTTCTTGCCTGTAGCCTCCCTTCCCCTATATGAGATATGTATTATGTACATTCAAATGCCCAATGAAATAGAAGCCCTCAAGAGGCTGAGGCAGGAGGATCATCTCAAGTTCAAGGCCAGCCCAGTGTATAAAGTATGTTCAAATCCAACCTAAACTACATAGTGACAACCTGTCTCAAAAAAAATAAAAAATAAATTTTACTCAAACTCACATTTAGTGCAGATATAGCAGAATATCAAGAGCTTTACAAACCTCTATGGAGTCACCAATATATTTTTGTATTTTCTACAGACCATTTATTTGAAAGGGGAAGGGGCTGGGAATATCGCTCAGTGGCACAGCGCCTACATGGCAAGCAAGAGGTCCTGAGTTCAATTCCCAGTACCCACAAAAAAGGCAGGGGGACAAGACTCAGAAGCTTACAGATTTCTATCATTTTGTTTTGAAACCCTGTATCATTTTTATTGTTTTTGTGTTGTTCTGTTTTTGTCTATATTGTTGTTATTTTTTTGTTAAAATAAAAAAAGAAGCTTCCAGATACACTATAGCATAAATTCAGAGATTCTAGTCTTTTAAATTCATGTGATCTTCCAATAATTTTAATTTTAATTTTGATACAGGCTTATTTTCATTCACTATGCTAAAAGAGGAAATTCAAAACCTTTTTTTAAAAATAGCTTTCTAATCATTTATTGATGTCCAATGCTAACATGCAGGAAATCCCTCTGAAGGTAAGGACAATTTGAATCTCCCAAATATTTAACCACTGAATAGTTTGCTCTGGGCATCATCGGGGCGGTACTTTATCTATGTGCTGACTATCTGGAGTGTCCCCTGGGCAGTGTCATCTCCACCCGTCAGTTCTCATTTGCGCAAAATCTACTCAGAGGTCTTTTTGTTTTATATCGACTATTTCTTGCATACTTTCTTTATTTAGAACATTGTAATCACCTTGGAAGTTTCTTTATAGTGAAATCTAATAGTAAGTTGTGGTTATTTTCTTTTACTAATTCATGTTTATTTGTAAAAATCTATATTTTATGCTATAATTTATAAAAACTCTTATCATAAGTACGTTAGATATAATTTGTATATTTCTCCAGAACTCAGGGATATTCTTTTATAATACAAAGTGGACAGATTTAGGACACAAACTGAGTAAGAAGGACGTGCCAAAAGATATGCAAAAGGAAAAAATTGAAAATGGGAGAAATGTCAGCACAGCAGAGAAGAGAAGTCTGTTATGAAACAGAAAGAAAAAAGGCATCTCCTTATTGTCAACTGTTCATAACACAGAAACAACAAAACTTGAAAGAAGAAACAAAACTTAGAAAGTTCCAATAATGGTCAATGACTGTAAAACTTCTATGGTGGTGTTGACAGAGCTGACCAACACCTAACAAGCTGTCCTGTAATCAAAAAGCAAGGGGAAAATGTCATTATAAAATATTTGTGCGTGTTCTAGACCAAACAACAGGAACTCGTTTACGATTTATTCAAAACAAGTGGCTTCAAGAAGTCATTTACAATTTAGATTAGATCTAACAGACCAAACAACTGAAAAAAATACACGATAGCAAAACACCAACCAGGACATCCATCATCAACATTTTCACCATTACATTTAGTGTGTAGAAATGTAATTTTTTTTTTTTTTGGAAACAGGATCTCACTACATAATTCCAACTGGCCTTAAACTCACTGTGTAGCACAGGCTGGCCTTGAACTCCCAGCAATCCTCCTGCCTCAGCCTCCCAAGTGTTAGGATTACAGGCATGCACCACCATGCCCAGCCTAGGAATTTTATTGAAATCATGCCACCCACAGAAAAAAAAGAAAGGCCAACAAGACATACAAAGTGCGCTGTTCAGAGAAAGACAATAATGCAAACAGTATTCAGGGAGACCAGATGCCTCTGTCCAGGCTGTAACACTGCACTGTATAGTGACTATTTTAAGATACTCCATATACAGAAACATTATCAAATAAATTTGATAAAAATATCATTTTAGTATTTCCTGTATCTTATAAAAATCAATGAAAAAAATAAGCAATTTGCAGTCATCCTATACTTAAATAACTGAACTTTTAAGTGCTTACTTCTATTTTTTTTTTTTTTTTGGTTTTTCTCCGGTACCGGGAACCGAACTCACGACCTTGCGCATGCCAGGCAGGCGCTTTTGCCACTGAGCTAAATCCCCAGCCCCAAGTGCTTACTTCTAATATCCCACTAATCCATGACTATAGGATCACAGTTGCTAAATGGAGGATTTTTTCACTGCTGACTACAAAGATGAATCAAGAATTACCACCAATCTTACCAGGTAAAGCTTACTAAGATTTTCCGAATGCCCAAAAACAAGGAGCTAAGATGATTTAGAATCACAGAAAGTCAGAGATTAGAAGGTACCTTAAAGGCCACTGACTTTTAAACACTGTGGTACCTAAGAGCTAAAAAGCTTAAATAAATCACTCTTGGTCACACTACTTATGCGTAACACAAGCCCATGTTATGTCACACACACACACACACACACACACACACACACACACACACGCACACGCCTTACCTTTCTGAAGATGACTTAGAAGACATAGAATGCCCATGGATACCTTTTTGATTTTTATGGTCTAAAGAGATGACTTTATTTCTTAGGCTTCTTTTCCACTAGGAAAAAACATATATATGTAATTTTAATAGAAAATGTAAGATCAATATGACAAGAAATACTTAAAGTGTTGCTGTTTGTTTGTTTTTAGTTTTAGCTCTTTTGAGACACGGTTTCCCTGTGTATTCCAGTTTGCCTTGAACTCACCATGTAGCCCAGCATGGGCTCAAATTTGCAGTGATCCTCTTGCCTCACCCTCCCGAAGGCTAGGATTGCAGGCATATCCCCGGAGGCCTGGCTAAGGTGTTTTAATTTAGCAATTCAGGATAAACAACCAAATTCTTAGTGTTATATAGAGGAAAAAGTAGTAAATAAGTGCAATCTAGAGAACATTTGCCTTTTCTCTTGCAATCTACAGAATACCTTCCTTTTTTCCTCCTGTTGTACAATCAATAGAATACCTGCCTTTTTTTCTCTTTTGCAATAACAGAGATGAAGATATAGATACATACAGATATGCCAGGTTACTTACGATGTATTACTCTGAATAACTACATTTATAACAATTAGAAGGAATTAAAATTAGTATTTTATGAACTGCTACATATGTCCCTTCCATGCATTAAATCTAAATTAAACAAACTCTCAAAATCTTTCCTATCGATGTGTAACCTAAACACATTTATCATCATCATTTCACTACAAAATGTAAGTTTATAATGTAACTAAATTAAAATTTTTTTCATTATTACCATTACATTCTGTATTATTATTATCATTATTATTATTACTATTATTATTATTTGGACTCTTGCGATGTTCTTCTAATGGGTTTCCCTATTAACGGCATCTTCTCCAAACTAGCATCCACTCTCTCATGAAAGGTACATCTTTCAGGCTGGGGATTTACCTCAGCGGCACAGCGCCTGCCTGGTAAGCACAAGGTTGTGAGTTCGATTCCCAGTACCGGGGAGAAAAAAACAAAAAAAAGTACATCTTTCAAAATACACATCTGATACTGTTCTGCTGAAAGTCCTAAGGAGAAAAAGGAACCAAGCTTTCTTTTCTCACTTCTACTTCCCATGAATCTTACATCCTGACAATATTAAACTGTGGTAAGTAGTTCCCTGAAAGCGTATGCATATAATCTGCATTCATCAGCTTTCACCTCGCTCAGAGGCACGTCCTGTGACACCCTCAATGTAAAGGAGGAGAGGTTTAATTGAGCTCTTGGTTTCCAAGGAATTCAGTCCATGGCTGGCTGGCTCCGCACAGCACGGTGGGAGGCAAGCCACGCACACAGGCACAGCTCACGGTGGTGAGGGCACAGCAGAGACACAGTGCCAGAGAGGAAGAGGCCGGGGACCGACAAGACCAGCGCCACAGTCCCTGGCCGTCCGGACATGGCCGCGGCGTGCGCCATCCACCCCGATGAGGCTGACGCGCCACGTTCAGCGGACACAGCCCTCCTACAACCCGCGCGTCTCCTCCTTCTAGAATGCACTGTATTCCCCAGCTCTCGGTGTCGATTAAACCCCGAGAGCAAGTAGGTCTTTCTCTTGTGATATCCGAATACATTCCACGTATCTCTATGACTAATAGTGCTTCTCAGAGTGGTTCATAAAATCAAAGTGAAAACAGAATTGGGAATTATCAAGTTCATAAATCAGACTCTCGAAACTATTAGATTATCCCTCCTCCTAGCATTCCACTAATCTCATAGTAAATACAACCTTCACATTTTATGTTCCTGAATTTATTATACCCTGCTGGTCATAATGTAGTAACACTTCCCCGTATGTATAGGACAGAAAAGAAAAATTATTTCTATTAAAGGTGAGGGGAGAAAGAGGTCACACTATTACAATATAATAAAAACATGGAGAGAAACTAAAGATAATTATGATAGGTCAGGAGCGATAATGACTGAAATATTAACTCCGAGTATCATTAAGATGCTTCAGTACCCATCTCCAGTTCTATCGCTATATAAGTGTAGCCTGGACTACATCTAGATATGTTATCAAAGGAGAAAGTCCACTTGATTTTGATCAACTGTTGCTTTTATTTAATATTACTAAAATATTTACATATTTTCTTTTAAAAATTGGATTACAAACTGAGTAGTAATTTTTTTACTTTCCACAGACAGAATTTATATTTTACTTAGAGTATAAACCTATTATATGCTATCTCTAAAAAATAAAACCAGACAACAGAATTCTCCCAATCTGATTTTTTTTATATTTAAAACCTCTGCAGTTATTAAGTTTATTACTATCATCCAGGACTCAGACATTCAGTATTCCTCCTGAAATTACATAAACAAATGCAAATGGAAAGAATCCAAGTCAAAATTAATAACAAAACAGCAATCCATCACAAAAGCATGTAGAATTACAAGAACCCTATTTTAAAACACTGGCACTTTAACAGTGATAATCTCAAAGCCCACAAAACTGCCAAATTTTCCCTAAACTGCTAAGCAGATAAACATGACTCTGAGTTTTGTAAAAAAAAAAAAAACTCAAATAAATTGGGTAATTCCTACCAAGATGTGAAGCTCATATTTTTTGCTCATGTCTAAAGGGGAAACCCTAATATAGACAATCTACCCTTTTCTAATTTGTGGCATAATTTTAAAAGCTGACCCAATTAATTAAAAATACTTTTACTGGAGTCAAATTTCCTGAGCGGTTTGTAAATGGGTAAAGGCATATATAGCCAACACTTTCACTGCCTTCACTGCAAATAATGCCAACAAAAAATCTGAGTCTTGTATGTTAAGCTCACGCTTTTGGGGATACATTCTCGGGCCTCCTCTAATGTGGGAACTGCACAATGTAACTGCCATTACACGGTAATGGGAGTTAAAGAGTCCTCATGTACAGATCAGAACATATTTTTTCTATTAGTCCTTCAAGGACAGACTTCCAGATTGCTTGATTGTAATGACCCCATGCTATGTACAGAACTGGTTCCTCTTTACAAAGGGGTATGCGAAACACATTATCAACTGAGGGAGATTTTGGAGTTTTATGGATGAAAATGTTCTCAATTTGACTTTTATTACACCCATCACGATATGCAGGGTGAGCAGACAGAAGCTTTGCATCCACTAACTATATGAAAAGATAAACACTAATAATTCACGTGATCCAAAATGGGCAAAAGCAAAAGACTAGCTTCCCTTCAAAAAAAAAATTTCAGACCTATGAAAAGGAGAATACTAATAAAAAAATATTGTATTTACTTAGAAGCATTCAGAATGTCAACAAAACAGTTGCAACTTTGTTTTGCAATTACAGAGTGGCATTCAATTCAGTAATAGAGATAAGCTGCATCAGAGACAACTGAAGATGAAAAACTACCCTCCCCACAGATAACTAATTTCTGCTGTGCACCAACAAGAGCCTGCTATAAATTTCCACGCTAATTTACAACCCCATACTGTACCAGGCAACACTAGTGGCTACTGAAAATACTACCAGGACAGGGCTATCCAGAGACACATTTGGTAGGGTGTTAACGATACAAAAACAAGGCACTGTACAGTTTAAAAGCAAATCTTACACAGGCTTACATTTCAATTTTTTCTTCAAAAGGTGTGAGCTGTGTACAGGAGGGTTAAAGGCTTTACAGACAAGAAAAAAAACTGCGCTAGAACCACCTTCATCATCATCATCGTCTGCCCCTTCCTCTTCATCTCATCTTCCTCTCCCTTCTTTTACTTGCTTTTTTCAGCCCTGACAGCTCCCTTTTTCGCAGCATCAGGTTTTCCTTTAGTTCAGCAGGCAGCGATGTCCTTTTCGTACTTCTGCTTCAGCCTGGAGGCCTTTTTCTCATCTACTGCAGTGCTATTCCACATTTCCCCCAGTCTCTTTGGAACATCACCAATGCAGAGGCCAACGTGCTCAGAACAGAACAAGGAGAAGGCCAAAGGAGGCCTCCTGAGCGCACTGGGATCCTTGAACTTCTTGCTTCCCCTTTAGCAGGAGGAGAAGTTCTCATTTCTCTTTCATAACGAGCCTTGCCCGCCTTTGCCACGTCTTCAGATTTTCCTTTCCCTTTAGCAGACATGGTCTTCCACCTCTCTGAGCACTGCTTAGAACACCCTGAGAGGTGAACGGAGCATCTGGCTGCTTCTTGTGCTCCTCGCGGCAGGTCTGCACAAGGAATGCACACGATGACATTCTGGCTCTCGGCTTCTTAGGGTCTCCTCCGCCCACGTCCTCTTGTTCCCCTCAGCGAGGCACAGAGTCGCCCAGGGCCTGGCCCCGCTCACTTGCCCCGGCGCTGTCCCCATGGAGCTCGACGCACTGCAAGGGCTGTGAGAGCCTCCCGATCTGATTTTGAGTAAGACTTCCTGACATACATATTTTCAAATGCAATAGGTCACTCATGTATAGCTCTATTTATTTTCTTTAGAAGCCACTTTGAAGATACCAAAGTATAGTACAACAACTCTTGATAATCTCCTACCTCTTTTGTCTGTAACTCACTATTATTTGTCTATTTGTTTTCCTGAGAAACTATTTTGTAGACAATAATATGTAAAATGATAACCATTGATAATTTCCTACCATTTTGTCTGTAATTTGCTAAGTCCCCCCTATTATTATGTTATCCTTCTTTTATTCTTTAAAATAAAAAAAATAAAAAAATAAATATTTTCAAATGATCACAAATCAGAAGGTTGAAATGGTGTAACTTTAATTTAAACATAAAAAAAACTTTAAGCAAACTTTGCTTATATGCAGAATCAAATTATTTAAATTGTTTTTATATGTTTTTATTTTAAAGAGAAAATAATAACAACCAAGACAAAAACAAAACAACACAAAAACAATAAAAATGATACAGAATTTTAAGAAGCCCCCTGGGCCATGCCCTGGATGCAAAGGAGACCACTGGAGATCGGTCTGCCCTCTGAAGGGGAGGCCCCAGAGCTCAAACCCATCCTACCAGTTAGTCCAGCAGGAATGAGAGGGCCCGGGGCATACTCTGCCTCCTCCCTCTGGCCAGACCGTCATCTCCATCGAGGAGTCCTGGGTAATCG